ATATCCCTGCCATTATTCTTGCTTTACCCTAACAAGCAGTTCCACGATGTGTGCATGTCCATCAGCGGCAGCCATATGCAGAGGAGTTCTATCCACTTTGGTCCTGGCATCCCTGCTAACACCTGCACGAAGGAGCACTTCTGCTGTGGAATAATGACCGTACTGGGCTGCAAGGTGGAGGGGTGATGTTCCAAGCTGTAAGGAAATAATACTCATTGAATATTTATTATGTGCAGAGTTCTAGATCATTGCTGGATACACAGCAGCAAGGTGAATCCTATGGTTCCTGTTCATGGAGACACAATCTGGGCAAATAAGATTAAAGGAGCCAGTAGCTCCTGCCTATAATCCTATCTACTAAGGGGGCTGAGATCTGAGGATCACGGTTCAAAGCCAGCCCGGGAAGGAATGTCCCTGAGAAGCTAATCTCCAATAAACCACCAGAAAACCGGAAGTGGTGCTGTGGCTCAAGTGGTAGAGTGCTCACCTTGAGCTGAAAAGCTGAAGAACAGTGCCCAGACCCAGAGTTCAAGCCCCACGGACAAAAAAAAAAAAAATAGTAATGGACAGATAAATCCCTCATGTGCATGAAGCCCCAGCGCCATTCCTCAGTACCATATCAACAGAAAAGCTAACCTTGAGCAAAAGGAGCTCAGGGCCTGAGTTCAAGCCCCAGGACTGGCAAAAAAAAAAAAGATTTTAAGCATGGTTATTTTAGAAAGTTTTTATTTTTAAGGGCTATTAAAAAAAGATTCTAGCCAGGCACTGAAGGCTGAGATCAAGGTTCAAAGCCTGCCTGGGCAGGAAAGGCCATATGGGACTCATCTCCAATTAACCACCTGAAAACTGGAAGTGGTGCTATGGCTCAAAGTGGCAGAGCATTAATCTTGAACAAAAAGCTCAGGGGTAATGAGTGACCAGGCCCCAAGTTTAAGCCCCACAACTGACCAAAAAAAGGGGGAAAAAAGAGAGAGAGAGAGAGAGAAAGAGAGATTCTAAAGCTGGATATAGTGACAAACATCTGTCATCACAGGAGGCTAGAGCAGGAAGATCATAATTTGTAGGCCAGTGTGGGCTACATGATTAAGATGATGTCAAGTGGTGTGGCTGATGTAAGCGCTTCCTCTGGGGCTCCCGCTTGCTGTGACACTGGCAGGCACCCAGCCCCCTCATAATGGACTATGGTGGGAGCACAGCTGCAAAGGTCCTCTAGGCCAAGTCTACTCGCCGTTTCACCTGTACCAGTCTGGTTTCTTCAGAGGTGTGAGGTGAGCTAGCAGGAGCTTTGAGTTTCATTCTAGCCTCCCCTACACAGTCTGGAAGTCTGAATCCAGTTGTCCTTGGTCGGCTAATGTCAGATGGGCCATCAAAAGCCCACTCAGGACAACTGGTGGATCTGAGTCTTCTGTTGGCCTGGGATGCTTACCTGAGCCCTAGTTCCCAGGAATCAAAAGTGACCCAGGAGAGCCGGGCACTGGTGGCTCAGCCTGTAATCCTAGCTACTCAGGAGGCTGAGATCTGAGGATCACGGTTCAAAGCCAGCCCGAGCAGGAAACTCCATGAGACTCTTATCTCCAATAAACCACTAGAAAACGGGCAGTGGCGCTGTGGCTCAAGCAGTGGAGCGCTTGCCTTGAGCTGAAGAGTGCAGGGATAGCACCCAAGCCCAGAGTTCAAGCCCTACGACTGACAAAAAAAAAAAAAAAAAGTGACCCAGGAAAGGAGACAATGTATTTTTATTTTGAGTGTGTCGTAGGGCTTGAACTCAGGGCCTAGGCACTTCCCTAAGCTTTTTGTTCAAGGCTAACACTCTATCAATTTGAGCCACAGTTCTACTTTCAGCTTTTTTGGTGGTTAACTGGAGGTAAGACCCTCATGGACTTTCCTGCCCTGACTAGCTTTGAATCTTAATCCTCAGATCTCAGCCTCCTGAGTAGCTGGGATTACAGGCAGGAGCCAACCAGCACCTGTCAACAATTAGTATTTCTAATGGAGACCTAGGTTTCCGCACAGGTCTTGATCTCTGTGAGGGCATCCCAATGAGGTATATAAATTCTCATGGCTGCAGCCTTTTGTCATTGGTCCTTGGGTTAAGGGAGTAACGTTCTACTCAGCTTAAAGTTAGTAAATACATAGATGCCTTTTGTTGTTGTTTTTGGTCATGGGGCTTGAACTCTGGGCCTGGGCACTGTCCCTCAGCTTTTCAGCTCAAGACTAGCGCTCTACCACTTGAGCACAGCGCGACTTCCATAGATGCCTTCTTATTTCTAGTAGTGACTGGAGGCCCTGAAAATGCACAATCAGTAGATGAAAACTTAAAATCCTATGCAATAACCTGAAGTTAATAAAGGCTTAAGAAGCCTCACCTTTTCCCATTCACCTCAGTGGCAACCAAATATCCCAAACTTAGTTTTAAATCAATGATCAGAGTTGGGCATAAGTGCTCATAGCTATAATTCTAGCTACTAAGGAGGCTGAGATCTCAGGATCGCAGTTCAAAGGCAGCCTGGACAGGAAAGTCCTTGAGAATCATCTCCAGTTAATAACAGAAAAACCTGGAAGTAGCACTGTGGCTCAAGTGATAGAGAGCTTGCCTTGAGCATAATGAGCCCAGAGTTCAAGCCCCGGAACCAGAAAACAATGATCAGCATAAAAATATTTACTGAAGGGCTGGGAAGTTGGCTCAGTGGTAGAGCACTTGCCTTGCATGCCTGGGGCCCTGGGTTCGATTCCTCAACACCACATAAACAAAAAGAAAAAAGCTGGAAGTGGTGCTGTGGCTCAAGTGGTAGAGCACTAGCCTTGAGCTGAAGAGCTGAGGGACAGCGCCCAGGCCCAGAGTTCAGGC